TGCAAAATATTGTCAGAAGGATGTCAGTGCTTCCAAAATGGATGGGAGGCTAGAAGACTAAGCTTTGGAACAGCCAGGGGCATTCTCAGAAGGTCAAGGAGCAGAAGCAGACTGATCCACACCTCGCCACTCTCCCTGTAAAATGATTGTGACCATCCTGCACTATGCCCACTCCCTTTAGTCTCTTGCCTAAGATTTGAAATCCCAGAGGACAGTTTCCAACTGTCCAGGCATAAGCCACATGCCAGCTTCCTGCAGCCCCTTACAATTTTGCAGTTGGAGGCCACCAGGATCATGCACATTTGGGAGGATTCTCAAAAAAGAGACTAGGGTCATATAGGAAGGGGAGATTTATTGCTGGACAGCCAAAAATAGCAAATGTCAACTCAAATGTGCCCCATCTGTAAAGGTAGAATTGTATGACCAATGGTAAAATTATTGTTCCTATGTTATATTTCTATCTGAACATTTCTAAGATGTACATGATTAAGGCAAAAATCGAATAGCTACAAGATCTTGCCAATAAGGGAACAAAGTGAACAGAAAAAAAGAATTTTCTGCTCCCCACCACCACCACCACCATTTTATGGTCTGTAGGGAAAAAACCAGGAAGGTTGTCTAACAAACATACCTCCCCTCCGGTCTTTTTGTAATCATAAAAAAGTTGGGAAGGGGAAAAACAAATAGCTGCATCTGAATGTAGTTGTGCTGGGCATTAACAGGGTTTAAGATGGAATATTAGCTGAAACTAAAATGGTCTGATGGTTGTAGTTAATGAGTAAGAACTAGAATTCTAAATTCTTCTCTGTTTTGCCGGTAATCGGTCTACTAATGTGCCCCAGCCTCTGTTTGTCTGCTGATAAGGAGAGGAATAGTCCTGCTGCCTGCATTCATTGGCATTTGTCTGGTGTCTGGGAGTTAATGCCCTGGGGGAGAGGGTTCCAGGTATTGCTTGTTACTGTAATATTGTCACTTGACTGTATGGGCATGTGTGATGGAGGTAGAATGGGGAATGTCTGATTACAGAGAAAAGTATTTGATTTGGATTTTCTCTAACTTCCTTCAGGATTACAAAATCAAATTTTTCTCACTACCTGGAGGCATGCTTTCAACTTTTGCAATCAGGCTTTCATACAGTGGCACAATGACATTTTCCCTCCTGTGTTTTGGCTTTAACCAGTACTAGTAGGCACTAGTATTGACCACCAACTCTCTATATATGTGCTATAAAAGAAGACATTAATTTCTGTCAGAAGAAGATCTCTGGTCCTTTAGCCTCTGGTCTGATATTTGAAGCTTTTTATCATGAAATTCCCTTTCTGTGCAATATGACCATACAAAGTAGGAACATAAATTCTTTTCTACATACTGGGATTAACAGAAGCTACCCTGGCACCTTAAATCTGAAAATTAAACAGCTAAATACGCAGGGAAGTCTATGGGAGGATGGTGTTGGTGGAGTGGAATGTCTCTGAAAATTTCCCCTGGATGACTATTCTTCAAGACAAAAATGGAACAGCTTAGCTTATGTGTATTTGAATTTAACGTAAACGCCAGCCAGCTCACCTTGTTCAAAAATACTGTATATACTCAATATTACACAATAATTTGTAAATTATGACTTCAGGCAGAAATACCAAACAAACTGAAGAGTTTAGCATTACAAACATTATAACATGAAAATCTACTTCATTTTAATGTTTAAATGAAGAGTGTTACACCTACTTTCTGAAACTTGATTACCCATAGTAAATGATACATTTCTTCTTAAGTGTGTTGCATATGAACAGAAGAATTTCTATCCTGCTGACATTCAGTAATTTTGCCAGGTGTGTTGTTGCTTTGTTTTGCTTCCTTGACTTTCCTGTTGGCCATGGTTGATCACCCTGGCCACATTCCTCAAAGATTATTCCAGCCTCAGAACAGTTAAGCATTTTCTCCCCTTAGTTGACCTTTTCCTCAACACTTTGCCTGAGAAGAAACTGCCAGTTAACAAATTTCACATTCTAGTTAAGTGATTTTGATCAGGAGGAATTGGCACAGAGTGCTACCCAAAATATATTTAAAAGCATCTGGATATTTGCTTTTCTGTAAGATGTGTATTCTTGGTTGATTCAACTTTAGCTGGTTTTGACCTTCTGATATTTTTTAGAGTACTTTTTCTTCCATTTTTGATGCTGAAACTCTAATACCATTCCCAATAGAAGTTATAGTTGTTTTCTCTGCTGTTCAACCCAACTGGATTCATCTCCAAAGACTTCACTTACCCTGGTTCATCTCTCAGCCAGATGTTCTACATTCCCCTCAGTACCTCCTTTCTGTTTATGGCCTTGATTTGGGGGAGAAAAAAAAAAGAATGAGAAGACTTGAAATCTGGATGGATTTCAGTCCTTTTCTCTCACTCCTGTATCCTTTTAAATTCTATTCTATCTAACAGCTCCGTGGGCAAGACATTGTATTTCATCTGCCATAAACTATATCATAAAACTAGAGCATTATAGTAGGGCGTGATTCAGAGAATGAACTTTCAACTCAGACCTTGGTTTGAATCCTTGCTCTGAGAATTATGATCTGAGAATTACACTCTCTGAGTTCCTCAGTCTCTTATGGGTAAATTGGGGTATAAATAGTGCATACTTCATGGGATTATTGTGAGGATTAAATGAAATAATGTAAAGTGCTTAGCATAGTGCCTAGCATGCAGTCAGGTTAGCTGTTATTAGCTCATTTCATATGTCTAACCAGGGATGACTTTTCCTTTGTTGAACAAGTGATCTTAGGGCAAAGAAAAGAGATGTTTTTCAGTTGTATTCTGATAAAGACTCTGGAGAACTTCACTGTCACTCTGTTAGAAAGGTAATCCTGTAAGTGTCATTTTCTTATCAAGCTGCTAATTACTCTCAGTCTTTAGATCAGAAGAGAATGGTATTCTGTTTATCTTGTTTCTTCCTTAGTATAGAGGTTCTTAAGTCCTCTTGGGTTTGTGTTTAACTTAGACATCTGTTATCACATATGGTTGGCTCCATAGAGTTTACTGGAGAAATCCTGTTTCTGGGCTAGACTCTAAAGAACTGGTCAATTCAGAAAATGTGTAATAGTTTTCACTTGCTTTTCTAACAAATAGAAATTTAATTAGAGACCAACTCTATGTCAGTTGATTCTTTCTTGAGGCAGCTGTTTCACAAAGACTAATGTTTACATAAATGAATCTTTTACTATACTAGCTAGAAATACTAGGCTTTTACCTTACATTGAAGTACATGTGATTTAATTTACGTATAATTTTATTCATATGCAAATAAAGCATTATTTATCAAGTTGAATTTGATCCACCTAAACTCTGGCGGTTGTGAATTCTGTTTTTCACTTCCATGCCACCGTGCTGCCATCCCATCTTTGGTAGTATTTATAAAGCTTTGAATTTTTTCCGTTGATGATAAGGGATTTTTATAATCAGCCACGTTCTCATTCCTCATCCCCTTGTGACCAACAGTATGCCACTTTTGTGATAATGAGGGTCGTTATCTGGGGCCACAGAATAAAGCGAATGGATTGTGCCATTCCAAGTGTGTCTGCCTTGTCTCCCTGGGAGCCTATATCCCACATACTTGGGTGATCTCCTGGCCCAGCTGGATCTGCTGTGCATTTTGTTCTGTCAGAAAAGTTCTTTGAGATTTGTGTAAATGATCGAAATAGAAAGGCCTGTTTTCCCTCAGACTGTATGTGATGTGAGTTTGACTCCTGGTCTTTCTTTTATAATCAAGAATTATAAAATTCCTGATTCGGGGCAGCTTTGATTAACCAAGGGCCCTAGTCTCCCACCTCTAACCCCCACTTGTGAAAGCGCTACAGTTTAAAGAACACACTTAGATAATGCATTAAAGCATAAGCAACATATGTACCTGAGAACATATTACTGAACTCCAAAAACTAGGAAGTTAGTTCTTAAACTGGTGGTGATTATCAGAGAGAAACTGCCTCTGTCTCACAAAAGGAATGACTTGAGTATGATCAATTGTTTTAAGCTGTCAACAGACATAATTCTTTTGTAGATATAGAGAAACACTTTGTTTATTGGAAACCAAAGTGTCCAAAGCTGTTACTTTGCCCGATAAATAGGTAGAATATTTAGCCTTTATTTAAAAAATATTTTCATTTAGTAAAGCAGACAGTTGCTGTGTTGGCAGAAGTGTGACTTTCATTTCCTGTCTGTGGTGTGCTCCTCTCATCCTGTCACTCAGACATTTTGTTTTAGGTTGTTCCCGGTATGTGAGTGAAACAGAGGGACCCACAGCAGGGTAACATGTGCACACCACGGATGTACCAAGAGACAAAGCTTATGCAACAGACCACAAGAGCGCAATGCTTTATTTAAAGATGGAAACAAAGCAAAATCAAGACAGCCCCTTCCAACCAGCATGCAAATTTTTAAAGTGGCGTCTGTGAATCCTTCTGATGTTTTGTTTTTAGAAGACATGTTCCAGTCTGTTTGGCAAGTTACCACAAAGGTTTATCAGCTTCGTGCCACTTGATTAAAAAATAAAATTGAATGAACAACTGACAGTATTATAGAACTGATTTAATTTTGTTTGCTCAGTGACTTCTCACAACCACCTCATCTTATTATCCCTGTTTTACAAATAAGGAGACTGAGGCCCAGAAAGTTTCGCTTGGGTAGGAAGTAGCAGAGCCAGGATTCAACCCCCAACAGTCTGGGGTTCCGGAGCCTTCACCCTTTTTTTGTTTGTTTCTAGAGCTTTCACTCTTAACTGCTACCATGTACTGTATATGGACTATTGTAAATTGTGTTTCAGAAAAATTGTCTAGAGTACACAGGACTGTGTGAGTAACCAGAGCCTCCCCTGATTTTATTTTTACTTCATCCCATGAAGTTTGGACTTTGGAATAGGGAAGAGAGAATAATCCTAAAATGAGTTTCCACCCTGCTCTTTGGTTTCCTCCCTTAAGTAATTTATTTTCTTTTGACTTTTTCGTTGTAGCATCAGCGAGAGCTTTCTAACTGTCAAAGGTGCTGCCCTTTTTCTACCACGGGGAAATGGATCGTCCACACCAAGAATCAGCCACAGACGCAACAAGCATGCAGGTAAAGCTCCACATACACCATTCTACCTTTCTTTTCGTTTTGTTCTAAAAGGCTGATTACCTTGTCACCATTTCTCCAACAGTTCTGTAATAGTGAAAGAAAACTTTTTTCTGCATCGTAGTAACTTTTTTTTGCACTCCCATGGACCATATTTCTAGCACTTAGCAGAATGTCTTACACACATAATAAAAACCCATTATCGTTGAGTCGGTTCTGACTCATGGCAACCATAGGGTTTTCTTGGCTGTAATCTTTACAGCAGCAGATTACCAGCCCTTTCTTCCAAGGTGCCACTGGGTGGGTTTGAACCGCCAACCGTTGAGTAAGTAGTCAAGTGCAAACCATTTGCCAACCAGGGACCTTACACATGTAATAAATGTTCAATAAATTTTTGTTGGAATAATGATGGGAAGGTACGAAAATGCTCTAATGAAGTCATATTGGACTTCTCAATTAAGGCTTTTATAGCTAAAAGATGTTCAGTTGTTCCCTTGAAGTCTATGCAAGTTTATTTCAACTAATCAAAGATTAAATTTCTTGTGTCTGTCTGTTCTCTAGTTATGGTGTGAGAAGAATGATATGGTATGTTATTAAAATAAATAAAAGTAAACTCACTGCCATTGCCAAGATAACAAGCATTATATTACGTATTGAAATACCAGTTCTTAAATGCCAGACTCTACCTTCTATAATCTTGAATATGCACCCACTAAAAAGACAACATTTAACCCAGAAGATGTTTATAGAAACAAGGAGTAGGGTTATCAAATAAATGTTCACCTATATAAGTTTAAATAAATTTATAAGACTCTGGTTTTGAAATAACCTACTAACAGTTAACAGTAAAATAACAGCTTGTGTCATTTTAGGGGAAAAATAAAAGTCAATCCAAGGACAATAATTGGAGAAATACTAATCAATGCTATACAAAGAAGTGTTTGCTTGTTGTCCTAAATGTGCCACTTTGATGAGTGTGACCTCCAGGAGTGGGAGAAATTGCAGTTACTAGGAAGAGAACAAAGAAGACTGTTTAGGTCAGAGGTGAAAGCCAGAAATACTGGACCCCATTGAGCCAGTAGTTGAGTTTAGCTCGAGTCAAGATAGTCTCAGCCATTTTAGTGGCTGTCCTTAGTTGCAAATGTAGCAGCTCAGAATTATAATCTATCTCACTGAATAGTAGTACCGTCCTACCAAACTCTTCAGCCATGGAAAATTTTTAAAAAGAGTAAAGGGGGAAAAAAGCTTTTGAAAAGTAGCCTTCGGTTAAACTTTCTAAAACCTTCCTCAATGCCCACCACGCACACACACAAAACAAAAAAAAAAGCACTTCCCCCAAAAAACTTGAACGCACAGAGTAAGTAGCCCCAGTTAAGCTTTGTATTTCTGTGGATATTTATCACTTACAGTAAAAAGACAACAAACTATTGGTTTAAATCCAGCTTGTCTGACTGAGATGTTGGGCAATTTGTTCTGTGACACATAACAGTAAGTGGGGTCAGTAGCTTTTAAAAATCCTGGCCCTGGTTGACTTTTTCCTTTGGTCAAACTTCCATAATCGACTGCCACCTAGGTTTCTACTTGACATTGTTCACTTAGCTTTCCCCATACTAAAAAGCAGATTTAACACAAGCTGAATGGGCTTAATTTGTGATCCAGACCAGATCAGATGAGGCAGTGTGAGTGTAAATGCAGCGCACAAAAGCCAGACCTTCACATACACTGGAACTGCCTTGGCCGAGCTCACAGTAACTGAAAGATGATGGCAGAATCGAGAATACTTAACGGGCTTGCTTGCTATGTCTATTTGTACTTTCTTATGCGTGTTAGAATTTTTTATCTGGGCAATCAAAAAGTGATACGAGTGAATGTCTGGTAACATTTTAAAGGGAAACAATTTTAAAAGGTTTAAAATCAAACTGTAATCTGGAACTTAGCAGTGGCAATAAATATATGGGAAATATAGGGGAGGGATCTTAATGATACTGATATATTGCCTCTGTTAGTCTCTGTGAAGAACTGTTTCTCCGTAGGAAATACCCAGTTTGCTTCTAGCAGTCCTGTTCTCTGTTACAAACCTGAGCTTCCACACCCTCAGCTCACCTAAGAAGACTTAACTAGGAGCAGAGCTCCCTGAGTGTTGTCTGACCTTCAAATAATCCATTTGGATCTTTGGGCCAGTAGTGCTTGGAATGGGGACTGTGGTCTACCATTTACCTAGAAATGGTTCTTCTCCAGAAGTTTTCCATTCTGAAAATCCTTTGCTCAGGGTATTTCTCCTGAGAGGACAAAAGGAGGTTTAATTTTTAAAACACCTCAGATGCGTAACTCAGTTGCCCTTGTAAACTTTAGTCAGTTTTCATCGTTTATGCCCAGCACTTTGTCTCCTCACACTGGTTATTTTTTCTTTGAACAACTTTACTGAGATATAATTCACTCAGTTCACCCATTTAAAGTATGTAATTCAGTATTTTTTTAGTGCAACCATCACCACAATCTAATTTTAGAACATTTTCATCACGCCAGAAGAAGCCCCATACCCATTAGCAGTCACTCCCTATTCCCTCCCCCGCCCCCCAGCACTAAGCCACCACTAATCTACTTTCTTTCTCTGTAGATTTGCTTATTCTGGACATTTCATATTAAATGGAATCATACAGTCTTTTGAGACTGGCTTCTTTCACTTAACATAATATTTTCCAAAGTTCATCCATATTATAGGATGTATCTGTGAAAACAGCATAGGGAAGGTGTCTGACCTCCTCCAGCCCTGCAAGGGGGAAGGAGAACCAAGATCAACAGCACAAGGCTGACTCCCGTGAGATGGAGGCCAGACAAGCCTCCTCTCTCCACCATCTCTACTAAATCTGACACCAACCGTCCCTCCCACAGCACTCTACTGGGTTCAGTAATTCATTGCAATGGCCACACACAACTCAAAGACCATACTCATGATTATGGGGTTTATTATAAGGGAAGTAACAGTTACAGTTCGGTCGCAGGAACACTCAGGATACAGTTCCTCCATCAGGACAGCCTCTCCCCAGCCCTCAGTTTCTGCCCAAAGGCACTCAGCTTTCTCTGTCTGTGGGCTGGGAAGCCCAACGCACCATCTTCTGCTGCCCCATCTCTGCTGCTGCGTCTCTCCTTCCTTGGTGGTGGTGGGCTCCTCCTCTCTGCTCTGGAATTGGCTCTCTTGAGGCAAAACTGACCAGTCCCCTTGGTAGGCCACAGTTACCCTATCACACAATCAGCTGGGTGGGAGTTACAAGACCATGGCTAGAAAGGCCCACACAAAAGTAATTAATCCACTACAGTATCAGTAGTTAATTTCTTTTTATTGCTAAATATTTCACTGTATGGATATATGACATTTTATTTATCCATTTATCAGTTGATGGACATTTGGGTTGTTTCCACTTTTTGACTGTTTTGAATACAACTGCTGTTAACATTTGTGTACAGATTTCTGTGTGGACATGTTTTCATTTCTCTTGGGTATATACCTAGGAACCCACACTGCTTCTTACATATGAGACTTAGATTGCATCTCTGGGTTTGAAATAAAATAGAATGGATCTAGCCAAACATTGACTCTCCTTTTTAATTTTGAAAGTTTAAAGATTCTGCAGTAATGGAATTAGTCAGAAGCCTGCAGTGAAATGGAGAAAAAGACAAGGAAACTGTTCTTTAAGAGAAGGAAAAGGGCAGAAGGTGGGGATGGGGGCAGATAAAAGGAAAGGCTTTCAGACTTGCTGACATTTTAGACAGAGACACCTGTTTGCCAGCCTATTTGTTTTTTCTTCCTGCCTCTCTCCACTTCATTGACATATCAGCATTTCATCTCCTGATTAATAGCTATGAGATTGCCTAGAGAGAAGTGATGTATGTAGATTCCAAGACCAACGTGAGAACAGGTTACACTGGAACCCATAATTTTGCATCTGTACCAATCACTTTAGACTCTTAAAAAACGGCTGAGGGGGGACAGGATGAAGTTCTTTTGTTCTCTGATTGTCATTATTTATGACACCTCATTATCTAATTATCTCCTAACAGCCAAAGCCTCAGATTTCCTCTACAGAATAGGGAATATGAGGAAATCTATAACAGTTGAATATAAAGAAATTTCAGTTTAGTTTATAGAATGTATAAGAACAAGTAAGGATTCAAATAATGGTTGACCACTTTAAAGCACCCGGTAATAGTGTTCAGTAAAATATGTATCACTTGAAATCTGCTATATTTGATAAGTATTCTCATTTTAATATCACCACTAATGCAGAAATTGTTTTAAACTGTTGACAGTATTCTAAAGGGAAATCTATAAATCTTCTTAGATTAAGTGCAACTGAAGATTATGATTACAGGTTTTATCAAAGTAGGAATTGCAAAATGGTTGGTTTTTTGAGAGTTAGGGATACTTCTTCTAACACTGTATACCCCCTATTCTCAAGATGCCCTCGTTCCTACCTTCAGTGGGCCTGAGAGCACAAGCAGTGCTGCCTCTGCCAAACAAATCGCTCTTAACAGCTTCCACCATAGCGCAAAACTGAGATCAGTTTCAAGTGCTCCTTCTATAAACAGTTAAAAAACAAATTTTAATGCAGTCTAGACTAAAAGTGAATGTTTAAAGAAGCAGTCTACCATTCTTCCTTTCCATTTAAAAATAAGTCAATACTCATATTAAGACACTCACTTAATTGCTGTATCTAATTAGAATCCTTCAGTGAACTAGAACTGCCTTTTTATAAAAGTCATTAGGGTAGAAGCGATTCTCTCTCTCGGCATTAGAATGGAGAATAATTATCCTTGTTTTGTAAATTTTTCACCAGGCGATCTCCAACAGCATCTTCAAGCAATGTTCATATTACTCCGCCCAGAAGACAACATCAGGCTGGTAAGTGAGTGATATCATCATAACTATTCCTCAAAAGACTAAGATAGCTAACATTGAACAGTCATTTTTATGCCCCATCCCAGTGCTGGGAACTATGTGGAATAGAAAAGAAGAAATGGTGTGACCCCATCATCCAAGAGCTTAGAATTTAATTAGGGATAAGAGCTAATGTGAACTAATGTGAAACAATTTCATGGTTAAAAATTATTGGTAAGCACCAGATTGAAATTATTGAGCATAGTAACAATTGAAGTTCAAAAAAGGGAGAGAAAACTTAAGGACTTGATGTAGTTGAGGAAAGTTTCATATAATGGTGAGGCTAGTGTTTAGTGGACTCTGAATTTACCATAATCTTCACATATCCTATTGTCACTATTTCTTCACTGTTTTTTTTTTTTATAGTAGTACTTCTAATAAAAGCAGGAAAATAAAAAATGGGAATAAGCACATTTCTTTGTGGAAAGTGAAAGTATTTCTATCTGTGCCCTACTGCACTCATTTATATTTCCTGTGTGGCCGTCTGGGTTACTACTACCCCTTCAGTAGCAGTAGTGAACCATTACAAGTTTTTGAGTCGGGGAATGACATGGGACAACTACAGTATTTAAGGTACGAAGTAGAGGGGAAGAGGAGGCTGTCTTAAATCAGGGAAACTAGCTACGTAGTGAGCTACTGCAGTGATCCACGTGTGTGGTGATGAGCCCGTCTAGGTTAGGGTAGTAACTTGGAAATTGAGTGGGAGCCACCAAACCTGTTGCCTTCGTGTCAATTCCATATTCATAGTGACCCTATAGAACAGAGTAGAACTGCCCCATAGGGTTTCCAAGACTGTAAATCTTTACAGAAGCAGACTGCCACGTCTTTCTCCAGCAGAGCAGCTGGTGGGTTCAAACAGCTGACCTTTCGGTTAGCAGCTGAGTGCTTTAACCACCGCGCCGCCAGGGCTCCTCTCTATCTTAAACATTGCTGTATTCTAAACCTATCCCGGAGTTCTCAAACTTTAGAGTACAATGGAATCACCTGGAGGGCTTGTTAAAACAGTAATTGCTGGGCCCTGTCCGCGGAGTTTGACTTTGTACGTGGGAGGAGGGGATAAAGAGGCGAGAAGTTGCATATTTAACAGGTTCTCAAGTGATGCTGATGCAGCTGGTCCTGGAGTCACATTTTGAGAACAACTGCTCTAAAACCTATAATAACAGTCACTTGCACACACTGGGTGCCTGATAGATATTTGTTGATAGCTTCCAAAAATTGTGTGGTTTAGGATAGCTACAGCTGAAGTCTATCCTCTCTCACTTTATGTTTTTCTCGTTGATAAGCTCTTGGAGTCTGGATTGTACCTATAAATGTTAAAATAGTTTTAACCATGAGAGACTTGGAGGAGCATTAAAGGAAGCAGTCGGGAAGGCAGAATTGGCAATTAAGTCTTTCTTTCCCTACTAAAATATGCAGCTTCAGCTGCTTTACATTTATAAAATATAGATTCAGAAAATGTAACTGACGCCTCCGAATTAATTCAGAGTTCAAATGACAAGCCATTTTACAGTTGTTTTGAATTGTTACAAACACATAGTCATTATGTTTCAGATTATTGAGTGAGTCATCTTCAAGAAAATCAGTGAATACATTGTATGACTTTGGACAAATTAGCACTTTTATAACTGAAAGGAGCATTTGTTAGACTCAAAGCAAAGCCTTTTGTTTTGAGTTAAATTTGGAATGCTAAAACTCTCATCTGGGGCTTGCACATAAGGTTAAAAGTTTGACAGTCAACTGAAAGCCCTGCCTTTATTTTTTGTAATAACCCAACAACAAATAGAGGCACCAAACCCTTCATTTTGCTTTAGTATTGAAAATAGAATCAAACCAATCCTTTCCTCTAGGGAGGCTCTGCGTTCCAAATACCCTCAGGTCTCAAACATTAACTTTAGAATTTAGGAATTGGTAAAATGAAGAAAATGGTTTATAGTACCCTTATACATCAAGGCTCCAGGAATTGACAGAATACCAGTTGTGGTGGTGTTTCAACAAATGGTTGCAATGCTCGCTCATCTAAGCCAAGAAGTTTGGAAGACAGCTACCTGGCCAACCAACTGAAAGCGATCCATATACGTGCCGGTTCCAAAGAAAGGTGATTCAACCGGATGCAGAAATTATTGAACAATATCATTAATATCACACACAAGTAAAATTTTGCTGAAGATAATTCAAAAATGGTTGCAGCAGCACAGTGACAGGGAACTGTCGAAAATTCAAGCCGGATTCAGCAGAGGACATAGAACGAGGGATATCATTGCTGATTGTCAGATGGATCTTGGCTGAAAACAGAGAATACCAAAAATATGTTTACCTGTGTTTTATTGACTATGCAAAGGCATTTGACTGAGTGGTTCATAACAAATTATGGATAACATTGTGAAGAATGGGAATTCCAGAACACTTAAATTGTTCTTCTGCAGAACCTGCACAGAGACCAAGAGGCAGTCATTCAAACAGAACAAGGGGATACTGCATGGTTATCAGGAAAGGTAGTGTGTCAGGGTTGTATTTTTTTCACCATTCTTATTCAGTCTATATGCTGAGCAAATAATCTGAGAAACTGGACTATGTGAAGAAAAACAGAACGTCAGAATTGGAAAAAGACTCATTAACAACCTGTGATACGCAGATGATACATCCTTGCTTGCTGAAAGCAAAGAGGACTTGAAGCACTTACTGATGAATATCAAAGACTACAGCCTTCAGTATGGATTACACCTCAACATAAAGAAAACAAAAATCCTCACAACTGGACCAATAAGCAACATCATGATAAACTGAGAAAATACTGAAGTTGTCAAGGATTTCATTTTACTTGGATCCACCGTCAACACCCATGGAAACAGCAGTCAGCAGATCAAACGATGTGTTGCATTCAGCAAATCTGCTGCAAAAGGCCTCTTTAAGTGTTAAAAAGCAAAGATGTCTCTTTGAAGACTAAGGTGAGCCTGACCCAAGCCATTTATTTCCAGTCGCTTCATACGCATGCAAAAGCTGGAAAGTGAATAAGGAAGACCAAAGAAGAATTGATGTATTTCGAATTATGGTGGTGGCAAAGAATATTGAATATACCATGGACTGCCAGAAGAGTGAATAAATCTGTCTTAGAAGAAGTACAGCCAGAATACTCCTTAAAGGGAAGATACGTTATCAGGAGGAACCAGTCCCTGGAGAAGGACATCGTGGTTGGTAATCCATCAACAAGATGGATTGACACAGTGGCTGCAACAATGGGGTCAAACACAGCAGTGATTGTGAGGATGGCACAGGACTGGGCAGTGTTTTGTTCTGTTGTACATGGGGTCGCTATGAGTATGTAACAGCTCCTGGGCAGCTAACAACAGTAACAACACATTATCAAAGATCCATCTAATAAAAAATAGACTGGGAAATTAAGAATTAAGTTCACCTAATGTTTTTAACTAGAGCTGAGGTGCTGCTAAGGTACAACGAGGTCTTTTTGAGTACTTTGCAAGACAGTTTAAGAAAATGAAGAGTCGTCGTTTTGTTTAATATGCTGATTTTTTTTCCAAAATGAAAATGTTTATTTTTTCTAAATATAAATATATTACCTGGTTTTTTACTCAGATGATACAGGAAGATAAAAAAGATATCTTTTATAAAAGTTACATAAAAGCTATAAAGAAAATAAAAATCATTCTGTATTCTGCACATTGAAAAAGCTGTTCTTAGCAATGTGGATAAATATTCTTCCAGTCTTACTTTGTGTTTGTATGTAAGAGAGAAAGAAAGCGAGACAGCTGAATTATAAAATTGAGATCAAAAATATAAATTCTGTTTTGTAACCTGCTTTCTTCACAATTTATCATAATTATCTTTCCATACCAATAGGTAAATCATTGTTTTTAATGGCTATGCAGAATATAATTTATAGACTTTTTTTTTTTTTTTAATTTAGGAACTTCATAGAAAGACTTACAAAAATCCAGAGACTGCTTCAAGCTCTAATCTGTTTCTTTTGAAGACACTATTCTTTAGTTCATTAGTGTCACATCTGAAGTCTATTTTAATTTTAACTATTGACTTTGCTTTGTTGTTCTTTTGGCTACAATTTAATATTTACATACTTTTGAAACCTTTCCCTCTGATGGATTGGGTGAGCTGCCTGTCTAGATGTTGGACCTTTATATTGTGGCTTCTCTGAGGATAAACACTGCATACAGAGGCATGACGTAAGACTCGTGATGGAGAGAAATTAAAGGCAGAGCTGCGGTGTAGGCTTAAGGTGGAGTAGTTCCTGATATTGGATGATGCTGAGGAGAGAAGCTATTATATCTCGTGCTGTTTGTGAACAGCTTGTAATCAAGTTAAGCATTTAAATTAGTTACTGAGGGAAGTTTTAATATCATTCTTTGATAGATGAGCTTTGAAAACAGACTGGGTTCCTATCTGTCAGGAATAAGGGAGAAGCAGGAGATGACTTCTCAGATCTACCTCAGTCCTGGGGTTACTGGATCCAGTTCACCTGAAATTCGTAATAGGACTCTAAATTTAGACAACAGATAGACTTTCTTGGAATAATTATCTCAGTTGTTACTTTTGCCGCATTTTAAAACTCAAAATGTTGTTTTCTTTGGACAATTAAAGTAGACTTCAGTAGTGCCATTTGCAGCAAGAACTTTAATCAAATACATCTAAATCATTGTGTTATTCCCATCATCTATTCCACCGCAAGTTGCAGAGACTGACAAAACATTGAAATTGCTGCCAGTTAGAGTATTAGGTACAGACTGCCATTTTGATTTCTCCAGGTGGCTTGATGAATTAAATTATATTGTTAAATTTTGTTGATCTTACCTCAAACAGAGGAATAGGAAGTAAACCTCAAAACAAGCAGGGTGTTAGGTTTTGCTTTATGCTGTTACTCTTAGAATTTTTTAAAATTCCTTAACCTAGAATCTTGAAACTTAAAAGGAACTTTAAACCCTCAGGTTTGTCACCTGACATTACAAAATTTTTTTCTTTAAAAGATTTCATCTCACCTTTCTAATTAGGATGAAGATGTTGAATAAGCATCATGGTTCCCAATCCCTTGATTAAAGCTCCATTTCCCTTTACTAGGAACTTAGTAATTACCATAGGTACTATCTAGAGAACTCTACATGCTATTCTTCCAGCTAGAAGCTTACAATTACTAAAATTAAAATCACTACTATGTACCAGTCACTGTACAAGTGCCGGGGATTCAAAGGTGAAAGAGAGAGACATGGTTCCTTCGCTCATGGAGTGGACAGTCTAGTTCTACTCTCCTTTTTAGTAAAAGTTCCCTTCTATTATACTAACAAAAAATAGCAGACCCTTTGAAGCCAGGAAAATGTGCCCTGAAAGCAGTTTCCTCTGCATAAAATAACCCCAATTCTTTATCTCAGAAGAGAAACAGATTTCTAGTACCATTAACTGGCTCAAGACATTCGTAAGAAATTCGGTTTCTACTTAGAATTCTTTCAGTGCTGCTCTTTATGCAATCTCCTTAACTCTGTCACTTCCACGGTGGCTAAGCAAAGAGAAAAAGAGCCATGGTTACACAGCTCAACTGACCCATTTAGCAAGGCGGAGGTGAGCCTCCCGTGCCTTTTGTCTCTATTTTGATACTCCTAGGAAAAGCTAGAGAAGTACAAACAACAGAACTGGCTACATTAAAGCTGGTTTGTAGTAGGAGTTGATACAGCAGGAATGTAATGCCCACCATCCTGATGCCAAGTATACAAGATACAGAGCTGTACTTCTGGCTTTATGTTCCATAAAGTTAATGCAACAATTCAAACTAGATTCACATATGAGAAGCTAAGGGATTAACATTTAAATGGTCTAAGCCCTAGCCCCCATGGGCTGGAACCAAGGAAGGAGCTATGGGTAGTAAATGCGCATGAGGACCAGGCAGCACTGACTCTCTGACTCCAGAAACCCTTCTAACACATTAATTTAATCAGAAAACTTGGTGCAGGTAAGCTAGAATTTCTTATAAACAAGCTCTCAGATATTATATGTTTAAGCGTGGGCTTGCCTTGGTGAGCGCTGAGCTGTCAGCTTCCTGAATGTGTTAGAGGCTCTTTTACCCGTCGCCAGTGAATAAAGAAGACGAAGGAAGAATTAATGCCTTTGAATTATGGTGTTGGTGAAGAATATCGAATGCCGAAAGAATGAACCAATCTGTCTTGGAAGAAGTACAGCCACAGTGCTCCTTAGAAACAAGGATGGCGAGACTTCGTCCCACATACTTTAGACGTGTTATCCGGAGGGATCAGTCCCTGAAGAAGGATATCATACTTGGTAAAGTAGAGGGTCAGCGAAAAAGAGGAAGACCCTCAATGAGGTGGATTGACACAGTGGCTGCAGCAATGAGCTCAAGCTTAACAACGATCATGAGGATGGCACAGGACCCGGCAGTGTTTCGTTTTGTTGTACGTAGTGTCACTATGAGTTGGAACCGACTCAACGGCACCTAACAACAACAACAGCAAGGCTCTGAGAATTTATGGCTGGTCTCAAATATGAATGATATGGGAACAACTGAACTGTGCTTCTGATAATTTATCCACAGCTTCTGTACCAACCAATGGCAGTCGATTGGCTAAGTCAAAGCTGATAAAAGGGGGGAAAGGAAGAAAAACCCACTTCCACAAATACTACCTAGAATACAAGTTAGCAGGTGGGCAGCAAGAGTTCCTCTGTAAGTGGTATATTCATTAATTGTTTCTTTTTAAAAATTGAGATATGTATTTATAATATCAAGAGCATCTCAAACGTTCGGCTCTCCCTCGCTTAATCTAATTATAACAGAAAATCCCTAACCTCATGGGAAAGGCCCCAGTCATCTCATACTGATGTAGGCTTGAGTAGCAGGCATGTCTCATATTTGAATGGATATTGAACTTTTTATTAAGAAATTTCCAAACATAACAAAAGTAGACAATGTATTATATCCTCATGAACCCATAATCTAGGTTTAATAACCATTCAGCATTTTTAATACTGTGATAAGTATACGTGTAACAAATCATTTGCCATATCAGCATTCTTCACATGTACAATTCAGTGGCATTAGTTACATTTATCATGTTGTTCAACCATTAGCATTATCCATTTTTGAATTTTCCCATCACTCTTAACAGAATCTCAGTGTCCCCTAAGTGTCCTCCCTCACACCTGCCCCCGGTAACCACTAATAAACCTGGTCTCTGTATACTTGCCTATCCTAGATATATCATATAAGTGGAGTCATACAATATTTGTCCCTTAACCATCAACATTTTGCCAGACTTCTCTCATCTATTCCCCCCTCCCTTTTTTTTTTTTGTAATTGGAGCATCTTAAAGTAAAACTCAGACACCATATCATTTTACTTCCAAGTACTTAAGAAAAGGCATAGCCACAATGCCATTTTCAAGCAACCATTCCATAATATCTAACACCCTGTCCATATTTAAATTTTTTGCAGGTTCTTTTTAATATCATAAATAAAAACTTTGTGAAAAAAATAATATGCAAACTTCTGAAAAAGCAAGTTATCATTGAAACTAAAGAAGAAAATCTTGTAGTATATAATCTGCAAGGATTCTATATCACGCAGTCAACATTCTTCTTAGATGATGCTAATAGACTGCCTCATATTATAACTGTTTGTAGGAATTGTGTCTGTAAATTCAGTGCTCACATTCATATACCTCACATTCCCCACTTGGCTCTTTATAGTACATAGGCTTGTAATTGCTATTATTATGAATTATGTTAATAGCAAACATTTATTGAGCATTTACTGTGTGCCAAGTACTGTGTTTGTTAAATACATTATTTCTTACAACATTCCAGTGGGATAAGTATTATTATGTCTCCCTTCAATTGATTTAGTAACTTACTGATGGTTATATAGCTAATATGTGAGGTGGGGTTTTAATTTAGGTCTTCTGACTACTGGCTATGCTCCCTCCCTAAGTATGTTTAAAATACTGATCTAAAAAAAGATTGAATGATATAAAATCGGCCTTTTAAATTTCTTTATTTTTTCTTAATTTCTCTGTTGTCTGTTAACCTCTAGGCTGTAAGACTGGAAAGTACTTACCAGAATCGAACACGCTATATGGTGGTAGTTTCAACTAATGGTAGACAAGACACTGAAGAGAGCGTTGTCCTAGGAATGGATTTCTCTTCTAATGACAGGTATGGTACCACAAAATGGAAGACAGGAAGACCCCTTTTTAAATAACCTATTCCAGTTATGTTTTGAGTTATCACAAAAAACATCTTGTGCTTGTTCTGCTTTTGAAGTTTAGCGTATAACACTTGTTGTTTAGTTGTTAGTTGCCATCAAGTCTATTTGTATCTTAGACATACAGTCTTGAGAGACTAGCATGTTCAACGTATGTCTTGTGTTGTGTCCCTATCTTACCACTATTACTTACCTTCCTCTCATCTTTAGGTAGTCATGACATAAAGGAAATGTCCGGAAAAACAGCTGCCCTTTCCTGGCAGCCCACTTTATTTGAATCAGTATTGACTCACTGTGGTGATTCTAGGGCACACTCCATTTGTGATAGCGCACCAGTGGGTCTGGGTTCAAAGAGATCCCACTTCAACTCCAGTCTCTCATATTAAACCTTTCTTTTATCAAATCTTACACCTCTTTTTTCCCTCTTCTGAGTTTAAAAAGGTAGGGGCAGGGTGGTTTCTTAAACTTAGTGTAGAGTCTTTCATAATTATGCATCTTTGGCTTCAGCTGCACATCACATCCTATGATTAAAGATGCCACACATCACACAGAACTTGGCCTCTTTGTGTCCTTAAGTTTTGCTGCTTTCCTTTTTTAGTTTCTCTCTTTTTCTGGAAAAACCTTGGGAAGACTGTGGAATGTGGCTGCTAAGCAGATCTTTGCGCTCTAGATAATAAGCCTCAGGAAATCCTGCCAGATGTCTCAAAGCATTGACTTCCTGATTCAGGACTAGAATGGAACTGTGGAGTAGGGGTGTGACTCAGGCCTCAGGGGAATTTAGCCACAAAGAAAGGAGGAGACTGGAAGTGATTCTAATTGTCCTGGTGTTGGAAAAAAAATTACATTGTAACTAGAAAATTTCCCAAACTAGTGTTTACCTGAGCTTATACATCTCAGTCAACCTAAAAATGACTTGTGGGTTCAAGGATCACAAGGCCAGAGTTGTTACCTTGTATATCACTTACAGCCTTTAATTGTAAACTCTGAAGTTACACAGGCTGTAAACCACATTTAGGAATCTCCTGGATAATTTTAACCTCTGGTGTTGCCTAAGCAACAGAAGAGTCAGCAAGCATTTATTCTGTCAGAGCACTTACCTTGCCTATATTCATGTAAGGATTTGAAGGTCTGTGATTAGGGTTTTTAATCTGTCTGCATCTGTGCAACTACATGTGACTATTTAAATAAGGATTAAATAAAATTTAAAATTAAGTTCCCTAATCACAGTACTCAATAGCTACATGTGGCTAATAGCGACCCTATAGGACAGAGTAGAACTGCACCATAGGGTTTCCAAGGAGCAGGTGGTGGATTCAAACTGCCGACCTCTTGGTTAGCAGCTGAGCTCTCTTTAACCACTGCGCCACCAGGGCTTCTATATGTGGCTAGTGGCTACCATGTTACACAATATATGTATAGAACATTTACATCATTGCAGAAAGTTCAGTTGTACACACTGCTCTAGATTGTATATTTCTCTTGTTCGATTCTTCATTATCTCCGCCTTGGAAACCCTACAAAATAGGAACTGGGGCTGCCCAGGAACTTCAGTCTTCCTCTAGAGACAGAAGGCAACAACTGTATATTCTCCTCACCTAGAGTACTTCAGTCAGAGGTCTAATCTTAACCTCTTTCACTTTGTCCTAAACTTCCCTAGAAATCATAAAGAATGTTGATTAATATGGGTGCTCAGTAATTTTTTTCAGTGACCCGGTTCTATCTTCTGTTATAATCCTATCTGAATCATATCTGCCAGGTGCCACTAACAAAAGAAAAGTTTAGTTTATGGGAGACAATGTAACGTGAAAAGCTAGAAACCAGTTTTCATTCTGTTTGGTAAACTTGATATTATGAAATTCCCACACGTCCTCTGCTTGAGTGAGCTCCTTGCACTGTAAGAGAAACACTGCTGCTTCGGAATACAGGTGCTCAGGTAATCTAGTGTCATTGCCGTCTCAATTGCTTTTGAATGAATTTGTAACATTTTATATCTGAGAATATAAAAAGTTAATGTTTCTAAACGCTGTTTAACTAAAGTGAAACCCAGATTGGTTATGACATATTCTTCCCAAGTAGTTCTTGAGATATGTTACAGCCAATTCATTTAGCCTATTTACAAGTTCTTTGAGATTGTGTTATATGTTAAGTAAAACATTTTTTAATACACAGTGTAACCTTGATTTCCAGTTGCATTGGATAATATATCATGTTATAAAATAGTATAGCTTTATGGTTTTGTTCTGTTTTTTAGTTTCTCTTTGTATTCCCAGAACCCTGAACATAGTAGGCACTCAATAAATATTTGTTGAATGGAATGAGTATCTATTAAAATAAATAGCTATAATTTAATAGAAGAAAATCACGTGAGGCTCAAGATAAACTGGATAAAAATACCAGGTATACCTAGTTCAGGACTCTTTTTCCTGTTGTTTGAAAAAGCTACTTCTTAATGTAAAAAATGCATTCTGATCTTAATATAAAGTGAAAACATGATGTTGATTCCTACATACCGTTGTCACTTGCCTAAAGTTTAACTGACGTCTGGTCACAAGTTCATAAATCACATTCTTTTGCAGCTTCTGTGTCGTCTTCTATAGTTACTTAATTTCTGGATTTGTCACTGGGCCATCAGCCCTCCATACTTATACCCAAATTATGCTTGTTGCTAGGAACCCTGCTAAACACTCACTTAAAAAAAAAAAAAAAAAACTAAAAATAACCCCACTGTACATTGAGAAGTCATTTTCAAACCGAGTTTTTCAAGCCCTTACCTCATTTAGTCAACAAAAATAGTGGTGGCGCTGGCCTACTCACTTCTAGACTCTGGCATGATAGCTGTGTCTCTGGTGTTCAGGCCCAGGGTTCCAGTATAGATAAGCTGTTCAAATCTTGATTTGTATCTCCTGTGCCCTGGAATCACTAGTGGGTGTTGAGTAACACAGGCCAGCAAATGCAGTGAAAAGCATTAGACAGCCCAACTGGGGACTGGCCTTCCTTAGCCCTGCAGTGACCCCAGCAGTTAAAGCTTGGTATTCCTCACATTGTGTTTAAAACAATTGTATAATGCTCCCCCACCAAAAAAATACCGCTTTCAGATATATTAAAACACCCACTACAGATTAGTATTCAGCATTTGTTTTACATACCCATAATGCACATATTGTTTCACTTTCAATATTTTAAATCTTTCTGCTAACCCAGTGAGGGTAGGTTTTACTATCTGCATTTTAAGGTGGAGAAATTAAAGCTGAGAGAGGCTAAATAGCTTGTCAAAAGGAGTTGAAATACTGGTATCAAATCTAGATCTTTTGCCATAATAACTGCTCAATAAATGGTAGTTATTGTTATATTCTAAGCACCATTCTAGGAGTTCCTGGGTGGTGCACACAGTTAATGCACTTGGCCACTAACTGAAAGGTTGAATGAAGGTTTGAGTCCACAGCGGTGCCTCAGAAGAAGGGCCTGGTGACCTACTTCCAAAAAATCAGCCATGGAATACCCTATGGAACATAGTTCTACTCTGACTCCCATGGGGTTTCCATGAGTCAGAGTTGACTTGACAGCAACTGGTTTTTTGTTTTTGTTTTGTTGTTGTTGTTTGGTGGGGTTTTTTTTACTGGTAAGCACTATCTACACATTTTTTGTGTTATCTGATTTAATTTTCAAAACAGCCCAATGAAGAAGGTATTTTCATCCCAGTTCTACAGATGAGGAAACTAGGACACATAACAACTAAATAATTTGCCTAAGATTATACAGTTAGTGCCAGAACCAGGGTTCCAGTTCCCCTCCAACTCCAGAGTCCATGCTCTTAACCATCCTGTGTGGTCCTACCCCCTGTGTCCAAGGTTCTTTCCACTGTACCATACTGTGTCTCTATATATATTGGCAGGGAGGAAGTATAGGAGCCTTTGGGAGACTGGCTGGAAGGGGAAAATGTTGATTTATTGTAGCTTTAAGGAGAGAAAGTGGTAGAGTTCTGGGGTAGGTTACAGTTTTCCAGAGAAGTGGTGTGCTAGAGCTCACAGTAAGGAGTCCATGGCTTCCTGCTCTAGCCTGTTCCATTAATTTGAAGCCAGTTTCCTTCCTGGGCTAGTATGTAACTTAAATAGCATTTTAATATAGCATACTGAAGCTACCCTTTTGTTGATTGTTGGCATTCCTGTCAACTCAGTATTTCAGCAGTGCTAGTTCAGTGCACAGCCACCAAGCATTGTTTTATTTAAGTTGTGTTGTGTCTGTTTTGTATCTCTAACTTGATCACAACCTGTTAACAATTATTGCTTTACATTTTTTAATTCCCTTCCCCTTTCAGACGAGCCTTCTAGTGTTCAATAAATCTACGTAAACCTCAATTAGAATTGAGCAAATCACGTATTTAGACGTATTTAGCAATCAGTAATTGTTCTTGATATTAGAAACAATCCTTGGAGTTCAGTTGAGTGCTCTGACCCTGGGCTGAGATCTGCCAAATGCTGATCAGACACAATTACCTAGATTTCTTAGAAAGTGGCCATTTACAAGATAGCCAATACAGGGAACTCAGTAAGTTTTCTTTGTTAAATACACAAGAAACTGATTGCCCACCTCTTTAAAACAACTTCTGAGCACACACATGAGATTAATGGTAGTATGATAGAAATTTCTCCGTGTGACACTCATGCCAAAATTTAGAGCTTAGGGGTTTATCTTTTGTGTTGAAAGAGTTAATAAACAAAGGGCTGTTTCCCAGAATAACAGGAAGTAACTTACGGACTGTTCCTTGTCTTACAGTAGCACTTGTACCATGGGCTTAGTCCTGCCTCTCTGGAGTGACACCCTAATTCATTTGGATGGTGATGGGTAAGACCTTCTCTCTTTATTCCCCTGCTTTCTGCCAAGGGGTGGGATTCCATCTTAGTGCCCATTCATTCAGCTGAATGGAGGCCCAATGTGCCCAAATGAACTGTCATGTTAGCAACTCAATGAGTCCTTTTAAACTCGTGTTTTTTAAAGTGGAGTAAAAATACAACTTGCCAGAGCCTCTCACTTCTGTTCTTCTAGGCTGACTATGGTAAGAATCCAAGCAAGAAAGAACTAGTTCATTGGCTCACTCTATAATTTGAACATGTGGGACTGTTGCAGTGCTCTCCCAAAGGATGTTCTGTTTTAAACAACCTCTTGCTGCCTCTGCCAGCTGTCAGCCTAGAGCATAACCTCTTTCCTCTGCCAGTTCCTTCCACTGACCCCCCACCCCCACCTGCTGGTGTTTTTAGAATGAGTCCCCAAGAGACCAAGATGTTTGCTCCAATTTATAAAGCTAGGGTCAGGTTTGTTAAGAACTCACAAGACTTCCAAATAGAAATATACAGCTGAACAGTTTGTACATAGCTCCTGTTGGGAAACTGTGTAATTCCCTAACCCCACTGTGAGAATCTGTTCATTTTGCCTGGTAGATAAAATCAGACAATTTGCTTTTCAGTCAAATCCTAGTTAACTTCTACATGAAGTGCCTGATGATCCCCTCTACTGAGCTAGCTATTGCTGCCTGAGAATCGACCTTGAAAAATCTCAACTGAAATAACCCACTCTCATTTGTGGATTTTTGTCTTGTTCTTTTCAGTGGGTTCAGCGTATCAACAGATAACAGAGTTCATATATTCAAACCTGTATCTGTGCAGGCAATGTGGTAAGATGACTTTTAATATCTCTGTGAAAGTTTTTTAGTATGTTATTGGAGCAGTATTTGAAATGGTACAGTTGACTGTGAAAATGCTGTTATGATCTGTGTTAGGATTTTATGTGATTTGTTTGTGTGGTCATTATAGTTAAAGATAGCCTAGAAGTGCAGTTTTCAAATTGTCACTGTGGGAGGCATTGAGCCTTGGTGAGCAACTGAAATTTAGAGGTATTCTTAGACTCTTGAAGAGACCTAATGGATCAGGTAGCCAGCTGGAACTGAGTTTGATAGACACATTGACCGAGTTGGTTAGTGGCAGAGCCAAGTCTAGAACATCATACTGCCTCTGCATTAGCTTTCAGTTTCTTAAGGCAGTAGGGGCTAGTATTGACGGAGGATTACATTATAGATAGTTAAGTTTCTGTTTAAACTGCTGGTTCCTGTTCACATAATACAGATAAAGCCTAGAGAAAAAATTGTAGTTGTTAATAAATAATCAGCTAGCATACTGACACTTTGGGTTTCTTACTGTGTGCCTGGCATTGTGCTTTACATGAATTACATTTAATCATCACAACAACCCCCCAAAAAATAGTATTATTAGCCCCTTCTTATGCATGAAAAATCTGAGACTTTAGAGAGATTATATAACCGGCCTGAGAGCATCTCTTATATTTAGACAGAATGGGCTCTTATTCTATTGTTCCAAATTATCTGGAAAAATAATTTAGTGTAACTAGGCAATGACCCGACTGTAGGATTCAGAATCCATCCCCTAGTCAAGGATTTTGATTTCTGTTCCTCATTCAGCTGCATGTTGTGTAGTGGAAGTCCCCTTGAGGAGTAGAATGGAGAGAAGGCAAGCCAAGCGAGAAATAAAGGAGCCTGAAAAAGACTCCAGGATGGTAATCTACCCCTGAATAAAGAACTGATAGGATTGAGGTGGGTGGGGTCCTAAGACAGAGTCCCAGAACAATTACCAGTCTTGGATCATTTCATGCCATAAATGAGGTAGGACATAGAGTTTCAGGTCACGTGTTTAGACTAGATTTTTAGATTTAGGGCATATTTCAGAGGTAAATTTCTCATGGAAAACTCATGACCTCCTTTGATTAAGGCTCAGTTAAAGGCAACTGACCTATCTATTCCCAGGTACCAAGTAAAACCAAGCAGCAATAAGTCCCATAAATGACAATATGTTTTCAGTTACAGTTTCGGGAGGAGTACAGAGCAATCTTAATTCTTCAAGACAGTGAAGACCCAAGTAGTAACCTTAGGTCAAGCTTTGCTACTCTAAAGTAGACTGAGGGGGCCTAGCTCTGTCAGTTTATTGCAGAATAAACTTTTTTTGGTATACCATATGGGGAGTAATGAATTGAAAGTCACAAAAAAAAAAAAAAAGGACGATATATGGATCAAAGTGGCATTTAAGCCAGGTGTTTCCTTCACGGAAGGTAGTTACAGCAGCCTCCTGCTCCTACGTGCAGCTGAAGTATCTGAGGTGGCCAGGCCATCAGTGTATTTTAAGCAGTTGCACCAGACGCTTGTGACATTTGCTTTAGAGACACTTGTTCCCTGAATGAAGAAAACATGTATTACGTGTCCTGCACATTTCACTAAATGGACCCTTATGTTTGAATCTGTACAGTGAAACTGGTTTGCTGAAATTCTCTGAGAATTTGGCTTACTTTGAGTAGTAGAAAGCATTTTTTAAAAGAGTCTGCAAGTTGGTTTTTAAGGAAAAAAATGTTTTCCTAATAAAACTGGACTGGCACATTTTTTTCTTATCAAATTGGTAAAGTGTTTTTTTTAACTTACATTGTATGGGGTTGACAAAGACTCAAGGAACAGACACTGTCATATCCTATTGGTGGGAGAGTAAACTGGAGCAACTTTTCTGGAGAGTGATTTGCCAGTGTACCTTGTAATTTTGCATATCCTTTGACCTAGTGATTCTAATTCTAAGAATTCATCCTAAGGCAATAATCATGGATGTGCGCAAAGATTTTAGGTATAAGAATGTTTGTCACTGTTCTGAGAGTAGCAAAAAAAAGAAAACAATTTAAATGTCTAAAAAAGGAATCAGTTAAATTATGATACATCTATGTTATTGAATATTGTGCATCCATTTAAAAATTATGTAGCTGAAGAATATCAACGTGGAAAGATGCTGATGACAGAGTATAAAGTAAAAGAGCAATTCATAAATGGTATACAGAATATGGTCATATCTTTGTTTATTATAGAGCTATGCATAGAGAAAAGTCTGGGAAGATCTACGCTAAAATCTTAACAGTGATTATTTCTGGGTGGTAGGATTCCAGGATATTTTTGCCCCTTTTATTTAAGGTTCCTAAATTTTCTAAAGTGGTTATGAGGGGGAAAAAACATAAAAAGGCATTTTTAAGAAAAAGGTGTAACTAGATTGGCCACAGAATTCTTTTATACTGCCTTTTTTCCTTAAGAGAGAAATATTAGTTTATAGCTAGTAAGATATTTCTCTTCAAACTCTTATGAGCTGCAACTATGAACTAGGCATTGTATTACGTGCTTGAGATAATGTCAGTAAAAACCTAGAAAAGTCCCTACTCTTGTGTAACTTACTTCCTAGCATTTCTAGCTTAAGGTTCTCCCAAGTATATAACTAAAAAAGGTACTTTTTATTTGTGTTTACTCTTTTTGGGTTCCTGAGTTTAGAGTCAGAAGGTTTAATTAGGCTCAGAATAACCAGAGCCGTTCTTAGAAAGTACCTCGAGTATATATGGATGAGTGGTTTTAAAAACTAGGAGACTAAGGCAGCAAGAATGATAAATGTTATTAGATCAGCACTTCCTGGACATTAAAGGACATGTCCTCAAGGCTTGGGGACATCTATGAGATTTCTGTGGAGCCTCTAAGAATTATAGGGAATGTATGCTGTAGCATGATTCTGTGCCAAGGGAAACATATCTTTGTAAATTGTTGAGATCTTTAGTTCTCTAACGATACAGCATAGCCACAGCATAGTTCCAACTGTGGGATCATGAGCTCCACAGGCACCTGGACATATTTTTCATTGGTGAATTGTCACTTCTCCTCCTCCCCACCAGTAGTGTATCACATCTTTCAGCAAGAAATGTGTCTAGGCTATTGCTATGGATAAATAATATGATAATAATCAGAAACAGAAAATCTTGCATTCCAGGAAGCACATCCTCCAGAGACCAAATTCTGTAGGATTTAAAAATTGGAAGAGTTTGGGGAACAGAGAAATCATTGATCTTTTGGTACTCCACTGTTCTACAGTGCTCATTTCTCAGCGTATCTTTCAGGTCTGCACTGCAGAGTTTACACAAGGCTTGCGAAGTGGCCAGAATACATAACTACTACCCAGGCAGCCTGTTTCTAACATGGGTGAGTTATTACGAGAGCCATATCAACTCAGATCAATCCTCAGTCAACGAATGGAATGCTATGCAGGATGTGCAGTCCCACCGGCCAGACTCTCCAGCGCTCTTCACAGACATGTAAGTCAGCTTGCTGAGGCTAGGCCAAGTCCTCTCTGTTGTGTCTTAGGGGGTTGTAGGCAGCATGTTTCTCCCTAATCTCACCTCTTGGGGGATTAATCTTACCTAATGATATGACTACATACACCACACATCTACCACACATAAATAACCCTACTTAAAAAAATTTAATGTTTTCCATGGCCTGCAAAGGCCTAAGGAGTTACACTCCTGGACACAATGGAGTGTCCATAGTTAAGAACTGCAGTACCATGAAATTCCATTAATTCATATTCCACTAATTTGAAATTTGAGTATAAAGGAGTTAAACTGAAGTTTACCTTTTTATTATCTGTGAAAAAAGCATTTGGTAAACAAATTAATGACATAAAGAAGCTTTCAGAGAGATGTTTATAATGCTTGGGAAAACAGGGTGTTTCTGGTCAATTTAAAAGAATACTTAATTGTTATGCTAATTTTCAACTGATTTCTATTTGTTTTTAAGTATTTTATAATTCAGGTGTGTCACTCAGCTCAGCCTTTGCCTTTGTTGAATCCTTGTCAGTAAGATTTTATTAAATTTCCCTGGTGTACCGTTAGTTGGAGAAAGGTGCAAGGTGGAGCTAATGTTTATTTCCTTTTTAGGTCTATGTGTTGAGGCTTTTGTGACTATTTTGGAAATTTTTTCACACTTAATTTCTTGCTTTGGAAAGTAATCGGGGTGTTTGTTTTGCCCTGAATTGATCTTTCCGTACTTCCAAGATGTTCTACAGCTGGGAAAGAAGAGTAGGCTACTTAAACTATCTGACCTTACAAACAGGGTTCACCTTCAGATTCCTAAAGTCATGCCAAAACAGTTCATAGGTTTTTCTTTAAAAAAGACTTAATTGAGATAATAGTGCAGTAAATGTTTTTTGCTAGAAAAGGTGAAAATCCTAAAAAACTGTGTGAAACGAACAGTCACGAAAGCAGCTGAAGCTTTTAGGGTGTTACTGGTACTAGGATCTCCTTTTCAGTAGCAAGAGCCCACAGTACTGAAAAGATAGAGATTAGTCCAGCTTTCAGAGTCTTGGGAGATATTACTGATTTCATGCCTTCCAGCTGGTTGATGGGTTTGACAGGAATGGCTGTCTCATCTAGCTCAGAAATGGACAGTCTGATCTACGCTTACATGAGAGAGAGAACACCCTTCTTCCTATTTTTCCTGATTTTATTGAGAAAATTTGGAAACTACAGGAAAACTCAAAAGTGAAATTGCTCATGATCTCTCTACATTAAGCAAAATAATGTAAATATAGTCCCAGGCATATGGTACCAGTAACCAGTTGCTGTCGAGTTGATTCCAACTCATGGAAACTGCAGGTGTGTCAGAGTAAAGCTGTTCTCCATAGGGTTTTCAATGGCTGATTTGTTGGAAGTAGATCACCAGGCCTTTCTTTCAAGGCACCTCTGGGTACACTCCAACTGCCAACCTTTTGGTTAGCAGTGGAGCACATTAACCATTTGCAACACTCAGAAACTCCTAGCACATGGTAGAGTCTCCATAAATGCTGGCACAGTGGTTAAGAGCTATGGGTGCTAACCAAGGAATGGCAGTTCGAATCCACCAGCCACTCCTTGGAAACCCTATGGGGCAGTTCTACTCCCTCCTATAGGGTCACTATGAGTCGGAATCAACTCGATGGCAATGGATTGAGTTTTTTTAGTATGTACAATATAACCACAGTTTTAAAAGATGTATTTAATGAATAAATGTTTATTTCTTCATAGAGAAAAAGACTGGGAGCTATAAGCCAGAGAATTAATAATGATTATCTCTGGACAGGGTCGCTGTGAGTCGGAATCAACTAGACGGCAACGGGTTTTGTTTTCTTTCCTAATCTCTGGATAGAGAGATTTTCAGTGATTTTTATTTTCTTTGTGTTTTTATGTATTTTTAAATTTTTCTGAATGAGCTCAGGGCGGGGATAGTGTGTGTGTGTTTTGTAATGTTTTTTCCATTCCCTCATTCTTCCTAAGTTGACTAGAAAAGCCTAAAAAAGAATGCTGAGAATGCATACCAAAATGGACCTAAGTGCTCTACTGTGAATAAAGTTTATACTTTGAAAGTGAAGGAAGGTAGAAAAGGGAAAATACATGTATGGTGCCCCCATCGTATGCCAGATTCTATGCTAGGCACTTCATATGTGGCATTTCACTTCATCCTCCTAAAAACCTCACGAGGCAGATATTATTACTGTCCTCAGTTTACAGAAAAGGAAACAGAGGCTCAGGGAAGAGAAGAAACTTGTTCAAGATAACACTACCAATAAGTAGCAGGGCTGGGATTAAAACCATCTTGTCTCAAGCCACTCTGCCTCAAATAAGTGTGAGGGATTGGGGGAAAGGTTGCTAAACTAGGCAGTCTGACCCATGCACACAGGTGCTAAAATTTGCTTTTACTAATATTTCTTTTTATTGGAAGACTCAAATGCATAACTTTCTACCATTAGCTATGTCTAGAAAAAATGGGGGCAGGGGGGATGGTTAAGAATTCTAATCCTAGTCAAGACCGGGAGGGATGCCTTGGCTGTTTGACAGGGAAATGGTACAGGTATTAGCTGTATTTTTGAGGGTTCATGGGAAACTGAGAGCCCATGTAGTGGGAGCCCCAAGGTTGTGGGGTGAGAGCATCCATCTTTGCAGATTACTGAAGCTATTTTTGCAGCCAGTGATAAGGCTGTAGGCAGAAAGGGCAGGCAGGATGCCCGAAGGCTTAGTCCACTTCCATCTCCAAATAAGGAGGCACAGAGCAGATACCTTTCTTGAGTAGGTAGGAGGGAAAGATGAGACAGGAAGTACTCTCTCAGCCTCACTCAGATTCTGCAAAATGTGGAATAATGCTTTTAGAGAGAAGCATCCAGTTACATTGAACCAATACCCTTCTAGTAATTGGAGAATCATTTACTTAGTTTGATTTCATATTAAAGTTCCAAGGGTTATTTTATTTTTAAGAGAGTCAGAAGACTGAGGGAAGCAATATAATCCTGCAGGTAAAGTATTAAGATGGGCTGAGAGTTCTGGTTCTCCTGCCCGTGTGTGGGATCTTCATCATGGCATTTAACCTTTCAGCTGTTTGTTTCCTTAATCTGTAAAATGAGGGTAACAATTTCACAAAGATATTGTGAGAACGTTTGTGAAAACGAAAGCATTTTGGATGAAAGTACGCTGGGTATGTGATCCCTGCATCTCATTTTGGGTGAGAATTTGCCTAATGAAGAAGTCAGAGTCACTCTTCCCTCTTTCCCATTTTCTAGAGTCACAACAATGAATGATCTTCACTGGGACGGTATTTTAAGCTACAGAAGACCCAGTTCCATAGTGGGTCTACCCACCTTGGTATTCTACCTCAGTAAATGGTTCCCAAGGATACTTGATGGGAAAGTGTGGATATGGTCTTCCACTAAAGTACTACACTCAGTATACCAAATTTGTCTTTACTCCTTCATAGATCCATATACATGAATGTATTTAAGAGCTTTTAGACATGGACAGCCTCTTCAAGTAATAATTCCTACATGTTTACATTCTATACATTCTGAAAAGAAACTTTTAAAAATGTAATTTCCATTTTGCCGTGCCTGCAGAATGTAAGTTTGAGGGTAATAGAGGCAAGCCCTGCCAGTTTGGAAGCATAATCAATGGTACATTCATTAACTTAGTCAAATTCTTGCCTAAGGGGGAAAAAAATTTCTTTTCTTCTCAGACCAACTGAACGTGAGCGAACAGAAAGGCTAATTAAAACCAAACTAAGGGAGATTATGATGCAGAAGGATTTGGAGAACATCACATCCAAAGAGGTAGGGGACCTTGAATCCTCATTGTTGCAGGGCTTAGGATAGAGTAACAGTAATTGTGGGGCTAGAAATGACATGTGGTTGAAAGTGCAGAGAGATTTTACAGAGGTTAGTTCAATGTGCCATCTTTGTTTCAGATAAGAACGGAGTTGGAAATGCAAATGGTGTGCAACTTGCGAGAATTTAAGGAATTTATAGATAATGAAATGATAGTGATCCTTGGTCAGATGGATAGCCCTACACAGATCTTTGAGCACGTGTTCTTGGTAAGTCTGAGGGCCACTTTATGAGCTGAAGCTACTCCATACCAACTCGTGGGCGTTGGCAGTTAAAATTTTGTTAAATTTAAATTATATTAAAAACAACAGTAGTATATACTCAAACTCATCACTCCCTAATTTTTTTACTAATTTTACTATTACCTGTGCTCTTAAGGTTGTTTATATCTATTGTAATGGTGGAAATACTGTAGAATGATATGGTACTCCTCATCTCTTCCAATTCTTCATTCAGTGACATCAAACTGGTAGATTGAAGTTGACCATGATGGGAGTATATACACCAAAGAAATTGGCAAATGCTACAAATAGGGCTTTTTTTCCCCTGGAGAACTGATTGTTAAATATCATATCTGCTCTTCATGGTAGTTTCCAAGGGCTGCCATAACAAAATACCAAAAAATGAGTGGCTGTAAAGAACACACATTTATTTCCTCACAGTTCTAGAGACTGTAAGTTCAAATTCAGGGTGTCAGCAGAGCTATGCTCTCTCTCTAGAGGAACATCATTTCTTATCTCACACCCACTCAGATATGACTTAACTGATAATATCTTCAAAGAAAGACCTTGTTTGCCCAAAAAAGTCACATTCATAGGTATAGGGGTTAGGACTTCAACATATCTTTTGAGGGGACACGGTTCAATCCATAACAATAGTGAAAAGTGTGAAAAAACAGACCCCAGTCCACAATAGTTTTATACGGCGTATCCAAATAATATGATCTTTGAGATAACTTTTTCAAATCTACCAAATGTGTCTAAGGTCTGATATATCTGAGCAGAGCAGGTGGAAACTACTTATAACTAAGAGGCTGTTGAACTTTTACACATTTGAAACCTTGTAGCTACATTTTAAATGCTCCAAATACTTTCCTGATTACCAGAAAGTCAATGACTTATAATTGTTCTTCATGGTTCCCGATCATCCAGTGACCTATAATTAGCCCAAGGAGACCCCTCTAACAGATGGATTAGAAAAGCTTCTAAAATCCTAAGACCTGTTTTCTTCCCAAATGTTGAAGAGCTCTAATTTTTATCTGTGCATGGTAGTGGGAACAAGGTTAACAAGGATAATTAAAATCAGTGGGGAACTCCCAAACCTCATTTTTTCCTCTTCTCATACAGGTTGACCAAAAATGCTAACAACTAAATTGACTGGTTGAAATTTCACTTCCTTTCTCTGGTGAGGACATTTGTGAACTGTGAAATGATCAGAAGCTGAGAAACAGGAAAGTTAGAGAAATAAATGCATAGGAACTGACTAAATTGGACCATCTCACCCTGACTATTCAAGAGTTTATTTCACCAGGCATTCAGACTTTGTGCCAGTGAAGGCTTGTGCCCTGAATTAACTTGTTGATACTCAGGAGTACATGTGCTTGTGGAGTGATTCATAGTGGTGGTGTCTGTTGTGTGTGGCTATAAAATTACTCATGAAAAGCTATGAGCTGGGAGGGAAACTTCTTCTCCATTACTTTAACTTTACCAGTATGTACTGCAGACTTTGGGTATAGACCCTACTACTAAAGGATCATTGACGTTTCCATTTGTAAAGCATCTGGCTTCGTTGTCTTTTGTGTACACTGCCACAAGGGTTCAAGCATTCTTTGCTCTTGTATTATTGGAAAGAATCTTTGTGTTTTCCATAGAAGACTTATGAGTTACTCATTCAGATGAGCCCTCCCCAACTGGCACCATGTATCCTGACTAATTTTTATGAAGGACAAATGCCTATAGCCAAAAAGAGCTCATATTAGAAAGGGACCAATACTGCAAACTTGGAGATCACTTTCTCACTGAGCTTGAATTTTAATAATGTCTGAATATCAAATACAATCCATTTCTGACTGCTCAGCCCATTTAATGCAGGCATTCTTTCCTGTGTATCTAATACCACCCCCTCAAGAACTACCTCCTCCATATCCCCTCCTCAGAGGATATATTTTAGGGTATGTTATTGTTGTTAGTTGCCATCCAGTTGATTTGGACTCATAGCAACCCCATGTGACAGAGTAGAACTGCCCCACAGGGTTTTCTTGGCTGTAATCTTTATGGAAGCAGATCGCCAGTCTTTCTCCTACAGAGCCACTGAGTAGATTTGAACTACCAGCCTTTTGGTTAGCAGCCAAGCATTTAACCATTTGCGCCACCGGGGCTCCTAATTTTAGGAAGAGCTACAGCTGCTAACCAAAAGGTCAGCAGTTCGAATTCATCAGCTGCTCCTTGGAAACCGTATGGGGCAGTTCTGCTCTGTCCTGTAGGGTCGCTATGAATTGGAATTGACTCAACAGCAACGGGTTTTTTTGTTTCTTTTTTTAAGCAAAAAAAAAAAAAAACATACCAATTCCCCCCAAATTACATTTCCTAATCAATTATAAATGCATTTGAGTATTTGTAGCAGTTCAGTCATCATATGATTTCAGGATTGTCAGGCATAGTCTTCTGTCTTGAGTTTTTCCCTATTACAAAAATAACATATGTTCATTATAGAAAATTTAGAAAATGTTAGAAGATAATAACATTTAATTATCACCAAGAAAGATAATCACTGTTATCTTTTGTAATATAATATTACCTCCTAGTCTTTTTTTCATTTTTAATACATATCTGTGAACATATTTTTTAATCAAAGGAAAATTTATTCAGCTTCAGATATAATTCTGTTTTATACATGTTCTTTCCATTGTGAATACTTTCCTTATTTGGGCAGAAGACTTTCAGACTGGTGAATCCTGAAATTTAACTCCTGTCTAACAAAATAAGTACATGAACAGGCTGTCTAAACATCTTATTGTACTTGTTCCTTGGTAGCTTCCTCCCTTTGTTTGTACCACCATATCCTATGTCCAGAACCCTATCTCTTCTCCAGTGAATCTCTACCCTGCTGGCTTTCCCAGCAGTTGACACGGAAGAAGAGGTCTTATCCTAGCTGCAAGTGGTGGTGGTAATTTTTTACAAAGTCATCTTGTCTTGTGCATAGCTGCCATGCCTGGAGCCCAACCAGACTGTGTAAAGGGAGGCAGCAGGATTACTCCTTCCCTTTGGAAGACAGCTCAGCTCTGCAGTGTGCTATGCGGAGACCTATTTATTTGGAAAGGTGTCCAGCTGGTGCAGAGAGGGCAAGTGTAGAGAGCATAGTTTAAAGAAAATCTGCAGTGAGAAAAGAGGATTGGTCGTAAACCATGTATTTCCAGGAAAAGAGGTTCTTCCACACTCTTAAGAGTGTACTACTTCACTGAACCAGAAGCCTTTGTCTAACCAAATCTCAGTATCAGCAGCTTTCCTGGAGGCTGTCTGATTTGGCTGAGAAAACTAGATGTGAACAGAGACCCTTTGCAGAAAGGCAGGCAACTTTCTTAGTTAAACAAGGGGAACACAGGGTTTTCTTGGACACACAACCAGTAATTTTGCTTATGAATTTAAAAAATGGCAGAATTTTTACTGCTGATTGTTATCTTTTTTAAGGTTTGACATTAAAAATAAGCCTTTTAGAATAGTGTTTCCTTCTCAAAGAAAAATTTAGACTCACATTGGTGGTTACTTTTACTATAGATGCAAAGAATTGGAGGGTGTGTGAAAAGATGAGACATTACATAATCAAATGGGTTGTTTTAATCATATTCCCCATTTTTGTCCCTGAGTTGAAAGGTTTGTGGTGTAAATTTCTCTCTGAAGGAAAAGTTAATAGAAAGCTTCTGCCTGGTTACCACAGTAATGTGGCTTACAGCATTGAGGCTGTAGGTATGGTATGATGAAGAAGATATGAACAATGATACCATCTCTTGGAGTTTATATCAACTTTTATATATCTTAGCAGAACCCCTCCCCCCCCATACATATCTTTCTTATTTTTCATAACTGTGTTCTCCTATTTTGCTTGGAACATTTGGACCCTAGAAAGGCTATTTCCTGAAGATAACATTTAAGAAGAAATCAGTCACTTGGTCTTTGGGCCAGGCTCAGGGAGACGGGGACCAGAGTGAAAGATGGCAATTAACTTACTTAAAAATGTATAATAGTTCTGGGATTTCAGAACTATTAGATTAGAATATGCTTTGCATAATTACATAAAACATAGTGAAAGCCCCCATAGAATTATGTCATTGTAAGAGCTCAGATTGAGTCTGTGGAGGACCCTAAGAGGCTAATACGTGTGGCATTTGTATATTTGTATTGAGGACAGAAATGTGGTTACACCACATTGACTTCATTTCCTTCAGGTTGAACCTAAAGCAGCCCCAGCCACAGCCAAGTCACTTGGCCTGGGCTTCGTTGAGTCTGTAGCCGATTCTTTTAATTTATTTAGCCTCTGGATATATGTCATTTCAGATTGTCACAATTCTCTCTGAACAGGTAAGCAAAAACCACGTAGTTCTCCCATCACGTCAGGGTTTCCATCTAACTGGACAGAGTTCAGCAAAGGATTTAGATTTCTAAATTAAGAAGTGAGGTGGTCACATTTCCCTGGCCCCAGTTTAGCCACTTGACTTTTATTGCTTGGCTTCTGTCTCCTTGCAGCCCTTTGTAGTTCTTGCCTCTTTCTTTGGTGTGGGGGCTATTTTCTGAGGTTGAACACAGAGCTTTCAGAACCTCCCATATATTTTGAGAGCAAGTCAGTTGAGCTCTGGTCTATAAAAAAAGGTCAGTTGTCCATCATTTACTGACCTTTTTGTAAATGGAATTTCTGTACAATATCTGTGAGATCTCCCTGTTCAACGACCAGATTGCAGATCACTTATAATTCGATGACAGTGCCTGCATAACACTTGACAGTTTTCAGAGTGCTTCATTTATCTCATTTGATCATTCCACAAACATTTGTTGACCCTCTTTTTTTGTGCTAGGCATACGGGTAGGTATTTATGCAGTCTGATCTAATTCCAGAAGGAGGGAGTCATGAACCATATCAGATGCTCAGAGAATGCCAATGAAATAAGGGTACAAAGGTGACCCTTGGATTAGAAATTAGGAGAGGTCATTAGTAACAT